CATAATCTACCTGGACTAGCTTGTGGTACATATGCCACAGCCAGAGCTCTAAGCTCCAGTGTAAGAGTAGGACAATAATGAGTTTCTACCCAGAGAGAGGAGAAGCTCAGGGGCAAACACTGCTGGGAACATGCTTGTGAAAATCTGGTGAGGGCTGGAGAGAAGACAGTCCCAAAGCAGCAACATTAAGGCTTTTTAAAAATCCCTACAACCCCTAAATCACCAAAACCCTTTAAAAAGCAATGCTTATAACAGAAGCCCTTTGAAAGAATTTCTTCCAGCTTTGATGCCCAACATCTCTGGCACCCATTCCTTTGAAAGTGGGATTTCTCATCTCACAGCAGTATTTCAAGTACCATTTCCTACCTTTGTAATATAAAACTGGCAGGACCATTCCTCAGCTGGGTTTCTTCAGGAGTTTGTATCTCCAGTCATGTGAACAGAAAGACCTTCTCTCCACAATTACAAAAATAAACTGTAAACAAGTATTTCATTTTTACCTCCCTGTTGTCATCACATTTTCCTTCCCTGCAGCTCTAAGTTTCCAAGGCAGAAGAGACATTTAATGATCAAACATAATAACTAGCACTGTTTATTCCAGGAACAAAAGCACATCAATAGAACAAGAAGTACTTCAGTTATATCAGAAATATATCATGAAAATATCACGATAGCATGAAAATATCATGTATCATCACTCACGATGCATTTTATTTGAACAGAGATGTTACAAGCTGAATACGGCCGGAGCTCAGATGCTGGGCAAGGTGTCTCAAGCTGACAGGGACCTCTGCACTTGGACTGACAGCAGGCCCATGAAACAACTAATGATCCTGTGCCAGCTGCCTACTGGTGTAACTGAAGTTATAAATGGTGCTTATATTGAAATGATAAACTGTTTTATACACAGTTATGTATGGAGAAACAGCTCACCACCAGGTGGCAGATATTCCAACCTCAATAATTTCAAATGCTGAAGAGACCCACACAGCAGCACCAATTAAAGTAAAACCTTACCTGTTGCCCACACATTTTAGAAAAGCAAACTGAAGTTCTTCTCGTTTGACCAGGTCCAGGGATACTTGGTGGATGCTACCATGCCCCAAGCCCCAGGTTACAGCCTATTGATAGTTTAAGAGGTACTCTGTTATAACAAGTTTTAATCCTCAGATGAATTCTCATTGGTTAAGAAAAAAATAATGCCTTTTTTGGTTCACTAGGGACCTCCCTAGAGACGAGTAAATATCTAATCCAACACTTGCTCATTTACCCCTGTACTATTCTATAGGCTAAACCCTACATGGGACATCTAACTTCTTACCCATTTCAACTGTGTTGCTTTAGGATAGTGAAATAAAATCGGTCCTCCAGAGCATTCACAGATAGAATGAAGGGCAGAAAATGAAAACTCTGCCAAGGTACTTAAAGAATGTTTAATTCCTCCTACTATAGTTACTCAATCCTTCCTGTAAAACAGAAGAGCATCATGAGCAATTTCCAAATGCTGGGGTTTCTTTGTAAGCTGTTCACCTAAGCACAGTACCACAATTTTCTAGATTTGTGTAATGTGCGAGATTGCAAATGCTCTGAGGCAGGAACCACTTTTTTCCCTGTCATTGTAGAGGGCTTAGCATGCTGGTACCCTGAAAAAGCACTTAATCAAATAATAAAAGGTTATTATCACAATAAGTCAAGGTGCTTTACAGACAGTTTAATAAGCTTGGAGAAGCAAGTATTTCAAACAAAGTGGGAGCTGGGGGACAACCATAAAGTGAATGGACTCTTAATGAGTGTATTAACCCCAATAGTCCAAACATTTCATAGGCCTTATGATATAAATTGACTTTGGATAATATAACCTAAGATTTAAAAAATGAATGACTCTAATATTATCTAATATTTAAAAATAATGACTCTCTCACTCATTATCCATTTGAAAATCCTGATTGCTGATAGATTAATTGAAGCCTTGTTCCTAGTATTCTTTTTAAGTCCAATGTATTTTCATTACTTTTGTAACCTTTTGCATTTTTCCCATTAATACTTGCCATCAAAAAATAAGAAAACAACTGCTTTTCTAGAATATCTTCTACGAGGACTAAGATCACTTGGAGCTGCTGATGCCTATGCACATTAGACTTTGTTCTCTGTGTTTTATAAGCTTTATTAGTACTTGGCTTCACTGTGCAACTGCAAAATATAAGCAACAAAACTTCTTCATATTTTACCAAAGTATCTTCCTCAATATGTTTTTGAGAATTAAAACAGAGAACTTGTCACTGTGTGTGTACTTGTCACACAAAGTGTGTACAATGGACACACTCTAATCTCAACCCTTTATCCGATCTGTGTTAACTCTGTTCCAATTTCATTTACCATGTGGCTCAGATGTGTTTGATATACTGAGAATTAAATGTCATAAACTATATTTTCTGCAAAATCAAACTATTATATGGGTGGTGATATCACAGCAATTTAAAAAAATGGTATTTTAAAGAAGATTTGCAAAATACCCACACTGTGTTTGTCCCAATATATTTGCTGTATTAGGACCACAAATCATCAAACCATCAAACTATGTGCTTTGAACATAAAACCAACACAATTAAAGAAACAAATCACTACAATTTAATAGCAACAATCTCACTTTACAAGATAATAACGATGGAAACTTTGCAAAGGAATCTGAAAAAAAATGTAATTAAAAATAACAGATTTAAGACAACAGAAAGTTGCAAATTAAATATCACTAATTCTAGTAAGTGGAAATTCTAACCAGAATGTTTACTTGATAGAGCATTCTGATTAATAAGTGACACTGCATTACCAGCACTTACTGACATCTGATAAATACTGTTCCTTTAAAGTAGTATTTTTCTGTTCAATGACCTTGCACAGACTGACAATAAGTAACCCAGCCCCCAGAGCCAGTCAGCAGCAAAATTCTTAAGCAGAGCAGGAAAGGACCTGGGACACACGTGATGAGTAAAACATAAATTACTGCTAATATGGTGGTTTCAATATTCAATGCACTCCACAAATATTATTTTAGATTCCTTTTACAACATACACCACTTCCAAACATGAATTAAAGCAAAACAGAAGTGACGTGACTTTGTGGATGGAGAGGAGCACTGGCCTGCGAAGCAGGAAACTGGGATTCAGTTCCTGGCTCGAGCCAGACTCCCAGGTAAGACAGAAATTACAACACTGGCCTCTTAAGAAAACCTTGAAATCTACTGAAAAAAGAAGCAATGTACCCAAGTCAGGGCTCACTATTAAAAATTAAATAGGAACTTCATAACGCTTTCTCCAATTGCTTTAGAGATTACATAATAATTAACTTTATTAAGCATGACTTCTGTTAATGCTGCGTAAAAATAACTGAATGAAACATGATACACTGAATGTGTACGAAGGATTCCACAAGAGTGGAAGTCACATACTTTCCCTCCTGTGAACCCAATTCATGAAGATGTGAGACGTGTGCAGTAAGTGTGAGTATCTACAGAAATCTCATGAAGAAAACTGGCCCCACAGGAAGTGTGATTTCATAGAGAATTTTGGTGATACCAAGATTTCACTTCCAAAGTCTTCAGTGATGCTTAAGCAAACAGTTATGTATTTATCAAGACAGGGAGGATGTTCTTCTGAAAAGGGGCCCAAATTTCATTATTAACTGAAGTTCATGAGAACAGCATAAGGAAGCGTGTTAGTAAGCCACACAAGCATAAATATGCACAGCAAAAGTGAAACCAAAGTATTTTTCTTATTAAATAATATAAAATAAAGTGATGACCACCAACAGAGGAAAAAATCCACAAAGATTTTTTTTGCAGTTTATTTTCAATTATAGTTTCTGGATAACCAAGCAGCTCTGTATGGAGAAAGCACAGAAGATTCATTCTGGCACTTTTGGATAGGTTTTTTTTTTTTTTTTTCTTTTTCCGAATTTTTATAGACACATTCAATCCACTTGCTCGGTCTATAGTCCATTTTATATGAGCATGATTAGCTCATATGATTCCAGAGGAAACTAACAATATATACAGTCAATGAAACTATCTTCTTGGCTACTCTGGGCCCTTTAAAATGTCTTCTAAGTCTATCCTGTCTAAACAGAATCCACAATATACATGATAGCTACAGAATACACTGTATTGAAGTGAGAAATGCTCAGCACAAAATGGGACTCTTGGCATGCAGCTTAAAATAAAAGGTAGAAGTTCAGAATATAAAATCCCAAATGGGGTCAATTAAAAGGAGTTAGCAAAAGAAGGGACCGTTCATTGTTACTGTAAAAAAGGCACTTTGAGTAAATGGGACCAGAATTGGAGGAATCTTCGTCGACACAAAGTTCAGTTTGGTTTCATAAAAAGGCTTCAATGCTAAGGGATGCTACTCAAGTTTCCTGCAGTTTTACATTAAAATAAATTGCTGAGTAGTTTATAATAAAGGACATAAAATGTTTACAACCAACTTGTAAAATTAAGATAAGCATAGTATAAGCAAAATATTACTAAAAGCAGCAATGCATAGCCTTTCATTGAGATAATGCACAATTTTGGACACCATGTGTCAAACTCTTGTTTTTAAGATACTTTCAGTAGCATTATCAACATAAAATTGGCCTACAAAACAAAAGCTTTACCAGCTCCCATTCATAAGGAGATTGAGGTCATAAACCAACCAAAACAATTTGTCAGTATTTTCAACATCCTGGATGACCAATATCAAGTATATGGAATAACAATCACACTCTTTGTTCAGCTATCTCACTGGAGGCAGCCGTTAAACCAGAGGAATGATTTTAATTCTTTTCTAACATTTACACAGTAATGCATTTAAGTTCTTTCAAATGTTGCTCACCACAGTTTATTTTTCTCTTTTCTCTCCACAACAAAAAAAATAAAAGGAAAAAAAATCAAGCACTTCCACAGAAAGAATATTTGGCAATTTTATACTCCACTGAATGGTGGATTTTCACAATAGCTCACTTTAGATTGAAAGTCATTAGTGGTCTTTCCTCTCGTTTCTGCCAAGGACTCTTCTTATCTTCACCTTGGTCATCTTCCTCATCCTCCTCATCCTCCTCATCACCTTGAACTGATGTTCCATGTTCAGGACTAGTTAATGGCTCTGGTTTGGTATCCACAGTTCTTGTTTCTTCCTGCAGGCTGGGCAGCTGCACACCACTTCTCTTACTAGTGCCTTCTAGTAGGCATCGTATAGCATTGTCCTCAGGGCTACAAACTGCTGTTCCACACTCACTGCCACTTTGGTCCATATCATCCAAGTACACAAGTTGTGTGTAAGCTGTGCTATCTGAAACCTTCTGCTCCCTCTGCTGGTGCTCTTGAACTGGTGGGTGACTCTGTGGTGCAGACAGATGATCTCCTCCTCTTCCCTTTCGGGCAGATTTTGGTTCATTCATGTCAACACCAGAGTCCAAACTGGCATCATTACTCCCATTCCTACCAGCTCTTTGGAGATCGATGTATGAATGTCTAACGTGAGCATTTGAACGTCCATCTAGGGAAACAAACCATGCTCGAGGATGAGGCAATGGCTTTCCACCGCCTAATTCCATCAAAGCCTTTTCTGTAAGAAGCTGCACTTCGCTATTCATTTGAGCCAGGGATGCATCATTAAGTGAGGCAGGAATGGAAATAGATTCAGACATGGAAGCATTCTGTTGACTCCACTCAGCTGCACCTGCATCCTGCAAATGTTGCTGAGATATTGCTTGGGATGCTAACTGTTGGGGTTGCAGCTGCTGTGGGGGGTGTGGAAAAAGTCGTGCATGAGGGTTAGGAAGCTCAGCCTGAAGTCTTTCTATATCAATCTGCTGGTCAGCTGGGACAACCAGCGGCTGGCTAACAAAAGGGTGTTCTCCTGGCAATTTCATGTAATGACCTGGGATAACCAATGCAGGCAAAACTTTTCTGTAAACACTGTCATTGACTTGGTCAACAGAATTGCAGCAGATTAACTGACCTGGTCGAGGGAAAGATGTAGGTCTTTCAAGGTGATCAACTGAACGAGACATCATACAATCAGTAGGTCTGCAGTCCAGCAGCTCTTTTTCAGGGGCTGAAGGTGTGGGGTATATTTGTTCCTGAATATTGTATTTACTTCCAGTAGCAATATGGTTCATAGATACTTGAATTTCTCTCTCTTGCTTTTCAAATAAAGGCTGAGATAGCATAGCATTGTAACTTCTCCTATGCTCATCTTTGATAGGGGACTCATAGCCTTCAGCTGTTTCTGTAGATTTTCTTGTCTTTAAAGCAAAAGTATCTGCTGATTTGTGGTAGTCTTTTCTTAGAGACCCGCTGGGAGTCAGGTCATCCAAGGAAATTCTGCTCTTGTCTTTCTCCTTGTCAGAGAGTAGTTCCTCTCGAGAGCTAAACTCCTGGGAAGTACTGAAGGAGTGTTTGAGCATAGGTGTATGCATATCGGCTTCTCCACTAGGTGATACCATCTCCATGTGGACAGCACTGATTAATTCCTTTGCACCTGAGTTTTCAGTGTGTCCATTGCTAGCAATGGACAGCCCGCCAGGAAATTCTGACTCACGACGTGAAAATATTAAATTTATATGGGACATTGAGGTTGCTTGATCCTTCTTAGAAGTGTCCAGTGCTGTCGAAAGTTGTAGTTTCTTATGATGCTGACGTGGTCTTAAACATTTTCTTCTATAAAAGCCAGTAACAAAAGAAGTTACACATTTATGACTGTTATACACAGAAACAAGAACAGCAAGGGTGTCTTAATGGGAGATTTTTAAGCAGTGACTAATATTAGGGGAACTGAGCTTTTATTGCATTCTCTAACAATTAAAAGCTTATCCCAGAGGAGAAGATAAAATGAAAGAATAACTAATGTCAATTGAGAAATATTTCAAGCACCAATTACAAACTGGAGCAAATGTCTGGAGGAAGCAAATACAAAATCACTCATTAATATACACTTGCTGATAAAAGTGTAACATTCATTTCAATATAAGACTAATAGAAAAGATCACTTGCAAATGCATAACAGGTACAATGACAAAGATCTTTGACCTATGCCTGTGCTTGCTTTAGAACATCTTACAAGGAAAACACAGATACAGGAGTGTGTGATTCATTCATCTACCATCCTACCAAAGGCAGGGATTGTATATGCTCCATGTAACCAGGAACATACAGAATTTGATCTCACCTTTTCTTTCTTCTTCAAGTGCTTGCTTGCTTTATTCCCTCTCCTCCCGAAATAAAAATGTTTCAATACAAAAGCTTTTAATTTCACGAGCACAAGAAAGATTCTATTTCCAACATGAACTAAATAACCAGGATGTGAATCTTACCTGCAATAATATAAAAGCAGACACAGCAAGACTAGAAGTATGAGAGCCATCCCTCCTAAAATTGCCAAAAGAAACATTGTGTGATAGCTGGAAATGTCGTGTGTTACAACGGGACCTGGAAGGCCAGAAAAGATAATTTAGACCTATAACAACCTGCAAACAGGAAGAGGAACAACAATTAAACAAAGAGAGGGACATCTTCCCTTGTTATCAGGGTGAGCAACACTGCCGCTCATAGCCTTGGTGCCTATTGAGCAGACCATCTCTGGAGAAGGGCAGCAAGTTGTGGAGAAAGCATGTGCTGATTTTTATGACTGCAAGTCCAGATAGATAATTCTGTGGAAAAGCAGTTAAGTTTCAATGGGAGCATGCATCAGTGAATGCTGCCAACACAGTGCACCAAAGCTCTCATCACTGGAGAAAAGCCATCACAGCATCTTCCAGCACTGTAATGCACTTAGCAGCACTGTGGCCAACAACTCCTCTTTAACAACATTTGTTGTGCTTTGCACTAAACAGTACATACAGTGCAGTACAGGATTCACTGGAAGATGTGTTGGTGCTCTGAAGTCTAGATCAAGCCAAGCAGATCTTCAGTAGCTTTAAAAAACAGGCTGCTAGTGAAACAGTGTTGTAACTCCAGGTTTCAATAATGCCTATTAAATGTTCTAACCTACAAAGGAATGCACACATGTGGACAGCATCTGTTCACAATTAGCCATGTGTAACCCTGTTGGTTTGTAAAACACTTATGATTTTGAAATAAAAGCCCAAATTTTCATCTGCTGTCATGGAGGTAACAGCACCAGCTGACAGTATCATGCATGTACTGTGAAGGACAGCAAACTTGGCCAACATTAAGGTTATAGTTCATGAGGTTTGTAAAACCTCATCTGTGGATCTTGAGTGGTCTGTAGAGCCATGGCTAAAGAATACAAAGCTCATTTTTGTCAATTTTTTGAGATAAGAAATAAAACAGATTCAATGAGGAGGTAAAATAAGCAAAAAAGACATTAACCTTATTAAAAATAACATCAGGTATACTGCATTTGGGAAATCTAAGTATTTATATGTTCTGTTCCACCACTACCTTTACAAAATTGACTGATACTTTTGCTTCAGGACATTAAGCAAAAAGAAGACTATATAAATCACTTGAATTTTTCATGCAAATGTTGTTCCCATTGCAAGAAAGTTTTAGGAACCCAGATCTAGCCCTGAGAAAGAAAGAAAAATAAAATACAAGTAGAAATTCTGCCACACGAGTTAAACTGCATGGACAAATAAGCTTTCTCCTGTTAAGAGTTACGGGCCTTCTCAGAGTTAGTGGCACCATTTCATGACTAGTGTAACTTCCTTGTAGTCTGGGACAGAGCTATACTGGGAAATGTTTGCCTCAGAGCAGTTGCTTTTTCTTGAAGTAAAATTATTTTGTAAAATTACATTAAATTCAATATGATAGCTTATTCAGATCTGCACTTGCCTCTAAACTCCGTTCAGCAATGAATCAGCTGAATATTCCAGCTAATTCCATTTAATATAACCTCAAATAAAAAGCTTGCATATCATGAAACAACTTCACGGCATATACAAGCAGACTTTAAAAACACTCCTCATGTTAGAGTTTGTTTTGTTGGTTAGATATAGTTTATTTAGCTTGCAGAGCCAAGGCAAGAATGTTTTAATTTCTACTGTATTTGGTTTTCCTCCAGAAAACCTAATAAAGAAAATCTGTCAGAGGAGGAGTTTTGTTTGATTGTTTGGCTTTTATACACAGAGATATCTCTAATTACTGGTGGCTGAAGAACTAATACTAAGAAATCTGAGGCAGCCACAGACAGAAAAAAAGAAGAGCAAGTTGCCACATTAATAATCTCCACAGGCACAGAAGTACATATAATGCCTAATTCAAAGTGAGGTTCTACAGTGATGCCCAAAAGCTTGCAGATGACAACCGGTTGGGTCACCTACTAATGCCACTCTGCTAATACACTTCCTAGAACTTCTGTGCTAAGTTATTCATGGCATAAGTTAATCAGTCACTAAGACGATGCAAAGCGGGAGCCAGGGCAAAATGGGCATCTTCAGTGTAAAAGAAAAAAAAAAGTTACAATCAATCCATCAGCAAATGTCTAACCCAGGATGATGTTGGCCTTAGCTGAATCCACTTCTTTGAGAGTTTCTGTACAGAAACTTCACAGCATATAGTTTTCCACCTGCTGTAACAGCCATACACTGATGTTGTAACTCCCCTCAATTTCTAGCAATGGCTCTACCAGGCGGTGGTGACATAAACGCATCAAAGCAGGAACATGTTAAAAGTTTCCCATTTAAATGACTCGGAGGTTTTGAGCACAAGGGCTGCCCCCCACAATCCCCAAAATATTTTAGCCCTTTACTTTCAGATTTCTGTTTTCTAATAATCCATTATTGATCAAGCTGGGGCATCTCAGATGAGGTCATTCTGAAAAATATAAACATTATATATGAATAAATAATTACTCGATGCTGCAAATAGCAATAAAATTCAGCTCCATCTTACCTGGGATAGTAGGGGACATAGCTGCAACCCAGTAGCCCAGCTGAGGTGCAATGTAAGTCCAAGTTAACTGATTTCCTTCCTGTTGTACAAGGCCCAGACTACTCTTCAGCCATGTCCCTGTAAATGTAAAGATTGTAGGAAGATGTTACAGATATTCCTCTGCAAACAAGTGTAAAAAGCAACCAGTAACAAAACCTATCCATGTACCGTAGGGGTCGAGTGCATTGCTGTGAAGTGGGAGATTGTGCCTTTTTGTCACTGGCATTTGAGAGCTCCCACAAGCAATCATCCCTGTAACCTTCTCAGAAGCTTTGTACACGAAAATCCCATTTAAGATTAAATAAAACTAATAAATCTTCAAAAAGGCTAAAAGAAAATAATTATTGTCATATTAGATTCCCCTTTTTTGAAGAAGGATATTCCTGAAGCTGATAGCTAAGTAGAGAGCCCACTTAAAAACTGTATTTCAAGAGAAGATCACATCTCCCAGACCACATGTGAGTTCTGCACGCCACCTTTCTATCTGCTCTGGCTGTTATCTTCTAGAACACTGAAGAAAATACTTCTTCAAAATGTTGGTTTTCCTATACAGAAAACAAGCTTACAAATGTTACTGCCAATAAACGTAGAATTAAGTTGCACCACCACTTTGATTCAGTAATGTTAGTCATTCAGAATGAGTGTGCATCCAAGAATACTGTTTGGTACTAGATGATGACTTTTTAAAAATATGTTTCTCAAAGGAAATTTAATAGACTTTTTAGAATTATCAAATGATCATTTCAAAAATAAGGTTGACAATTTTAAAGCAATGTGTTTAAGTTCACATAACTCTTAAGACTGACATACTCCAGATTGACAAGCTGCACTAGTTGAGAGCTGTTCTACTTTTAGAAGGTAAATTTTGTTGCAAGAACTGGGCTACAAAAAACCTTCACAACTGAATCAGCTGTATGACTTTTTGTAATTCATTAAGACCCCTGACTCTGGGGTTGCACGAGACAAAAATTCATCGTAGTTTCTGATATATTAAATGTCCAGTATGGCTCGTAGACTGCTCCCGTATTTATTCTCTTTGAAAGAAACACAGAATTGCTGGCCTGGACACCGAAAGCAGTTGCTGGGAAGCCACCACAGCATCAAGCAGCATTTCCCAAAGCTGCAGTCCTGGATTGGCATCTCCAGCGGGTACCGTAACAGACAGCATTAGCTCTCTAAGGAGGTTCTTCACAAACTGTGGTGGCCACTACCAGTACGGCTGATCTGTGCATAGAGAAGGGATAAACCCCTCCGCACTTCTGTAGTGCAGCCCTCTATTTCAGTCCAAAGCAGGGGCAGAATGCTGCATTTCCCTTCCTCAGTTTCGAATGCTCACTTTAAAGGCAAGCTGCATCTTGTACTTCTGATTCCCATTCCTTTAAATAGTCTCCTGCATGTAACTGCTGAAACGGTGCTTTTCATCAGATGTCACTCAGGACTAAGCACGAGCATTTGCAGATGACAGTCGTCTGAACACTTAGCAGTGAGGGCAGAATGCACAGAAGAGATGCTGTTGTTGGTTTTTTTGTTTGTTGGGATTTTTTAGTGCCACTGAGATCCTGATGATTTCCTCTGTGTTCCTTAGATTATCCATCTGTACAAACCCTGTACATACGAGAATGTCTTTTCTGAGTATTAATTTCCTCTCCACTACTGATTCTTCCTATGTAAGTTCACCCTTTTAAGTCCACCATCTTCAGCTAACAATAAATCCATCTGAATATAGTAAAAGATTTAGAAAAATACATGTTTGAGAGGATTTCTAGATCTAGTGACTATCACTGCCATATAATGACTCTGTATTTGCAAACAAACTGAATTTGTGGGCAACAGGGGAAAGGAATTACTGACATAATTTTCAGTTTTCCAAGTATCATTTCCAGCCTGTATAGAGTAGCAATACTCTGTTATTTCATAAAGAAAGTCACCCAAGACAAGTTATTTCGATTCACAGTACCAAAAGATTAAAATCTGTGTACACAGATTCACATATATGGCATCCATAACTGTCACATCAGAACACCTTGACGTAACCATTAGTTTACCTCTTTTAGGGAAACATTATCAGGAAGAATAGAATAGAATTATCCACAGTTATGTGTGAAGTTTCTGGAAAAAATAAAAAAAAGTAGATTCATTTTCTCCACTAAGATGGCCACTATCCCTTCAGATTTTCTAGTCATGCACTTTTGGTGACGATGTCATACTAATAGCCGTAGACCATGAGTGTAAAAAATAACCTATGAGGTCAAAAACTGCTTCTATCTTGTACCTAAAATGCCATTTGGTAAGAAAACTCCTGTAAGCTTAAACTTTGTCATTTTATTTCTGCAAGGTCTGGACAACGAGAAAATACACCAACTATTCAAATACACAACTATGTGAAACAGAACTTTAAGACTAAAAGAGATATAAAAGCGCTGATTAAAAAAAAGAATGGAAGGACGGGAGTGATGAATTCATCATGCTTCCCACACTTCTCTTACCATCTCCAAGCCCTTTAAATTCAAACACAAGCAGAACACATATGTATGTAATTTAGCAAAATTCATTACCTTTGTAGTCTATTTTTATAGCGACGTCCTTGAGCAGAAGCTATTATTGATTCCCTCACTAGGGGGAACTTGTGTCCAGCTTGCCTTATTCACATTACACTGCATTCTAATGAACACAATCCTCCTAATGCCTCTTTAAAAGCCTTTTACTCAGTAATACTCTGCTTGCATAATGCAGCGATCAAGAACCTAACAGAGGCTGCACTCTTATCGCTGTGAGCAGAGCTCAGCTGCCATCCTGCCAAACAAGCAGCAGTTCAGATTGCTCGTATTTTAGCAATGAAAGAAATCCCTGTATTTGCAAAGGAAGCAAGCAATAGAGTCTACTGCACAAAGTCAGTCAGGTTTCATGCTTGTCTTCTGTTCATTTAGGTCACCCGTTTTTGCTAACCACTGGATATACTCAAGGAAATATATTGGTCTGTATAATTCTAAGGGAAAATGTATTTCCCTCTCTCTCTTACGGACAGTTAAGAACTTCAAAAGCATAACACATATATCTAATATTGGTTATCTTTAAACAAGACTGATGAAGCTTTTGTTGACCATACCCTACTCATTTACATGCGATGACAGCTAGAAAATAATTAATTTTCAAACGGCACTGTCCCAAGTTCAGGACTACACCAAGTGCTGGTTCCTGCAAACCACAGGTACACAATCTCATCAGCTGCCTTTCTGAATACTTGTCTGGTGCAATACTTTGGTGATAAACTCATTTCTTATACTTCCATCATCTCTTACCAATAGTCCACTAATAGAACAGAGCATCCTCCTGCACAGTGGGATGAAGAGAATAAAGAACTCTATCCTTCACAATAGCAGCGTCAAAACAGGTTTGAGTGGAAACAGTTGAAACAAAGTCTTGTTTCTTGTGTGATCAAACAGCCAGAAGCCAACACAGTATTACTGGAGGAAACTGATACGCCTTCAGCAGCCTGCAAATCCATCGGGGCACTTTCAGATCTCTCTCATATTTCAGCCTTTATAGATTCTAATATCCTGGTCGCTTTTCAACTACCATTAAACATCAAGGAATGTTCCTGTAGCTCCCTACATGCAATGCCTTGCTGCAACTACTAATGTCAGACCTTCTACTGAGCAAAACCCAGTTGCATGGTACTTACTGGCTATGCTCCTAGCGTTTCAAGCTGACTTGAATAAGGAAGAGTTCACTGTTGTGCAGCCTCGAGAATGAATTCCCCATCCCATCCCAGATTCTTCCTTGCAGCAGGAAACAAGATGGTTTCCTGTTCTAAAAATGTAGCGAATTACCCTCTATGTCCTCTCATACTTGTCCTTCTAAGCAAGGGAGGAAACTGAGGGGCAGTGAGTAAAGAGCTTCTTCCATTTTTCTGTCCTTTCCTATCCAGTAGCCTGCAAATGGAGTTAAGGGCAAGCAGCATTCATTTTTTTTTTTCCATGCAGGCAGGATTACAACTGCAGGAGAACTAGAAAAGACTTAGGAGAAAGGAGAGGTCTTACCTCCCCCTGCATGGCTAAGTGTTAAGATAATTTAATTTGTTATTCTCCAAATATCCTGTAACATCTACTTCCTCCCCTGGCCCAAATCAGCACAATCAACTAGCTGCATTGCTTATTAAGTTTTATACATGATGTGCAATAATTGCTAAGTAACAAGCAATACAGGATTATAAGTAAACAGCAGTACAAATAACTGCATGTAATGGAACTGATCATTTTTGTTCAAGACTGATTGTGTAGTTCCAAAGAAAACAGGTCAATGCATCTTCGGAGCAGAAACAGCAAGTTCAGTATAGTTTGTCAGCACTGCATGATTTGGGCCAATCTGCCATTAATTCCTAAAAGAGCATCTGGTGGTTCATGGAAAAATTCTGTATATAGAGACATTCTTGCTTATAGATAATTTTTGCATTTCTCTTCCTCTTTTTCCCCTATTACTGCTCAGTGGAGCCAACATGCTGATCCAGGGTTCAAGTCAGGGGAGCTGTCTCCTGGCTCAAACCAATGGCAGGCAAAGAACCGAAAAGTTTCTTAACTCTTTCCTCAACAAAATTATATTTAGCGTTACTGACGTTTTGGAATAAATGGTGTCATTTAACAATTTTCTTCTTAAAAAGCTTGTAAAACTGCTACCCAACACTCCTCTGTATATGCAACTTAAAAGGAAGGTAGAAGAACTACCATCATTAACGCTACAAGGACATAAAAATGAGAGTACCTTAAAAGAAATACAAATCAAGAAACAATCAGATAGAGAGAGCTGAGCTCCATCTGGCTGAAAAAATACCCAAGTATCAGAGACAAGTTAAACATTTCAGCAGAGCAGGAGAAATAAAATCTGCCAGAGAGAAGCACTGTAATACTTAGCAGTGACTTTGATTCTGATGAACATGCTTATTTACCTCAGGCAGCTTTTAGTACTGACCAATGGGGGCAAGAAGAGGTTATAACGAGTAAATTTAACAGCAGAAGGTTTGCACATTAAATCTGTGTTTCAACACATATTCTGCACTAAAAATACCTTTTTGTAATTTAATTTAGTTTACTTTTAAGTCAGATTGAAAAAATGGTACTTTCAGCAAAGAAAGTGTCCAGATGGGCAGCTACTGCAGAAAAGGAATTACAAACAGCTATTCTAGACTATTTCCCTAAACAATCAGGTCACTCCATGTACAGCCAGTCTGCCCAGAAAAGAGATGTCCTGTTGTCT